TCTGTTAAAAAATTTACATTACAGAGTGTTTCTCCTAAAACTGTTTTCCAAAGGCCTCACTGTCCTATCAGGACTTCATTAATCTAAAGTTTATGAAATAGGTAATATTTCAAAATTGTAAAACATAAAATAGGCTCAGACATCCAACATTTGCATATAAATAGAAAACTAAAATCTACACTGCTAGGGAAAAAAATGATTTTCTACATTTTTTTTCATACAATTTTCACTAAATTAGCCTTTAAAAATGTCCTTGTCATGTACTTGATTTTTTACTTCCTGTTTAAACAATGAAAATGAATTTTTTCCTAAAGAAATACCTGCATTACACAGGTGGACCCAAGGAAAACCTTTGGTTCTAAGTGCTAGACAAGGAGACGGCCGCAAGGTGCTTGCCTCCTCTATCCTGGATTTCAGGATTTGGACTTTATCCACTGTCCCCTCTGCTCCTCTGAATCAGAGGCCAATCATCCAGGTGGGGATCTCCTGAGCTGATGTCCCTCTGCCTCCTACAAGATGACTCTCCAGGGCTTGGAGAGCCCAGCCCACATGCCCTAAGGGATGAAGGAACTTGAGGCGGGCAGCCGGGCCCAGCTGATGTCCCATCCTCTTGGAGGGTGCAGCCCACCCCTCCTGCCTGCAGGTGGTTCTAAGGCTCAGTGTCCCTCCCTACGTGGCTATTCTATCTCTGTTGGCAATGGAGCGACATGAAGCCACACAAGTTATTGTCTGGCTGTTCCATCACGTTGGGAGTCCAGGGGTTCCCCTCCTTCCTCTGAGCTCACTGCCTCTGGATGCTCCTGGAGGCAGCTGGCTTCTCAGCCCACTCAGGTTATTGGCAGAATCTGGATCTTTGGAGCTGCAGGGCTGAGATCCCCGCTTCCGTGGGGGTGGCCATGGAAGCCGCTCAGCTTACCCAGCCACCCACATTTCCTGTCTCTTCATCACACATCTGGGTGACACGGGGAGCCTCCGTGGTGCTTTGGATGGGACCTCTCCTGGGCATGTTCTGCCTCCAGCAGGAGACAGCCCTTTGCCTTCCAGGGTCATGTGACTTGGTTGATCCCCCTTGGGGAGTTGAAGATTAGCTCTCCACCTCGGGTCGGTACCCTCAACTACATCTACAAGGTCCTGTCATTCGATGTATTGAGGAATGGACGTGCAGTGTGGGGGAAACATTCTGCCCATGGCACTGCCCCGCCAGCTCAATGCCTGAATATACACTCAACAGACAACAAAGGCCACGTTTACCTATGTTTTTAAATGGCGTGCAGCCCATGGTCGTGGTTGGCAGGAAGTCCCACCGTGGTGGTTAGGAGGGCTATCTTCCTTCAGTGCTGTGAGCTTGAAGCACCCTAGCCTCACACTGTCCACCACGGTTGAGGACACCTATGGTCCTCGGTCCACCACGGTTGCCATTCCTAGGTGCTCAGTCCTGGGGCGAGAGGATCTACTCAGAATTCAGAGCTCTTGTCCTGCTAAGACCATGGTCAAGGAACACGACAGCCACCTACCTTGTCAGGGGATGGGTTAGCTTTTCATTGCTGTGACCACAAAACCTGATAAGAACAACTTAGAGGAGAAAAAGAGCTCATGGCTTCAGAGGCTCAGTGGATGGTTGGCGGATTCTATTGTTGTGGGACCTGGTGAGGCGGAACTTCATAGTGGAAGGGCCTATGGCAGAAGATAGCTGTCAGCTCATGGCAGCAGGAGTGGG